CTAACTCCACACACCAAGTTTCACCACGATCAGACCAAAATTCACTGAATGAGCCGCAAAAGAAGACCACAAAAACACATAGTGGCGCAAATGCGCTAAGACAGAGATTGGCTTACCATCCCAATTTCCTCCGTTATTTTCACCGGTAGCCACGTGATTATCAGAGGTTACCACGCCTACCTAGCCGCATCAGAGCCGTTTTCCGTCAACAACCTTCATTTTAGACCCACCTACAGACACGTGACTGGACAGACGCCACATGCAGCAAATTTGGGCCCACGTGGATTTTGGCATTGTAACGTCTGATTGGTTGAAGTGACGTGAACGTGGCATCGTTACTTTGATTCTATTGGCTAAAACGATTAAAAAGAGGTGTCAATCATGCAAATTGACCAAAAGAAACCAAAGTTAAAACCCCCTCGGAGTTTAAAGGGCCAGAGACCAATTAAACGCTTCATGCGCACTGCAGAAAAGGGCCATCACCATGTAAATGTGTGGTTAATTCTTCAAAAATATATTTTTAAAAAAAAGTATTTTTAGGCCTGTTAATAAAAATGTATTAATTTCTGCTCTTTAATACAAAAAAAATTCAACCAAAATTGGACATTTTTGTACAACGTCTGGATATTCATGTATTGACAGGGCTGTAATTTTTCACTGTTTCACTTTAGAAACATAAATCTTTGCACAGATGATGTTTATATGTTGGTTACTAAAATCCTGGAACCAAATGTGATCTGAGGCATATTTTTAAAAGGGTTATATGCTAAAAATAAAATAAAAAATTAGGCGAGGATAAAATATACTTACTTTTTCTGTGTTCCAGTCTCAGTAACTGTGACACAGTAATATCTGCTTCAATATTTACACCTCTGATGAAATCTCACAAGTGTTAGCTATATTTTTTATACCAGGATTGTAAGGACAGAGTTTGTAATTGCAGAGAAATAATCAATTAAATTTGGGCATTACATTTTTGAGCAGGAAGCTCAGAAACCCCCTTGGGGCTTAAGGTTAAGGTATGTGCTAACTAAAAAAAAAGCCAAGATGATAGTTTATTAAATTTTAATGAAATTTGTAATTGTTTTGGTGGAGTTTAATAAACTCAGCTGTCTGCTCCTTGCTATCTAAAATATAACAGGACACAGGAGTATATTCTCGACCATCTCACACTTCTGATAATCAGTTGTCTGCTTGACGTGTATTCAGCTGTGTAAAAACTATAACTTTAATCTCAGCCAAACCGATTTACTCAGGAACAAATAAAATACTGAAAAAGACCAAACAATAACATTTTTAAGTTATCTAAGTGACTCATATATCATGTTTAACCTGAGTAGCAAAAGACAGCAGTGGGCTTGAAAACAATTTGCCGGGAGTCCGGTGTTCTCACCGGCTCTATCGAGACTTGAGCTATGGTGTCCGGTATCGAGCTACGATACCGGACACTGCTTCTTCTTCTTCGGGGTTTAACAGCAGCTGGCATCCTTGTACATGCAGTGCTGCCATCTTCTGTTTCAGTCCGTTATTACACTCTTAAATACTACTACTTATTCCTGCGTCTTTTGGGATCTTACAAAGCTTCAAACGACGCGTCGACTATTAAATTAGTCATCGACGATTTTGATAGTCGACGTAATCGTGACTAGTCGACTAATCGACTAATCGTGGCAGCCCTAACATCCAACCATCTTCTTTTGCTTTTCCGGGGCCTGGTCGCGGGGGCAGCAGCCTAAGCAGCCACCTCCTCCAGCTTGTCTGAAGGAACACCAAGGCGTTCCCAAACCAGCCGAGATATAATCTCTCCAGCGTGTCCTGGGTCTGCCCTGGGGCCTCCTTCTGGTGGGACATGCCCAGAACACTTTACCCAAGAGGCACCTCAGGAGGCATCTTTGTCAGATGCCCAAACCACCTCAACTGGCTCTTTTTCATGTGGAGGAGCAGCGGCTCTACTCTGAGACCCTTCCGGATGGCTGAACCTCTCACCCTTTCTCTAAGGGAGAGGCCAGCAACCCTTCGGAGGAAGCTCATTTTTGCCGCTTGTGTCCGCAATCTCGTTCTTTCGGTCACTACCCACAGCTCTCTCTTCACCACAACGGACTGGTACAGGGTTCACATCACTGCACCCACAGCACCAATCCGTCTGTCGATCTCCCGCTCTCTTCTCCTATCACCCATGTACAAAACCCAGAGATACTTATACTCCTCTGACCCGGAGTGGGCCCTCCATCCTTTTCCAGCTAAGGACCATGGACTCAGTTTTGGAGGTGCTGATTCTCATTCCCACCGCTTCACAATGAGTTGTGAAATATTCCAGTGCAAGCTGGACGCCATCACCCAATGAAGCCAAAAGAACCACATCCTCCGCGCAAAGCTGAGATGAGATTCTGAGACCAAGTGAAAGCCTTCCGCTACGCCTCTAGGCTAGAAATTCTGTCCATAAAAATTGTGAACAGAATTGGTGAAAAAAGGGAACCAGGGAACCCCTGGCATAGCCGGCAACTTACTGCCGGCTATGCAACGGTTGTATAAGGATTGAATGGCCCATAGCAATGGGCCAAACACCCCATACTCCTGGAGCACCTTCCACAGGCACCCTCAAGTATCCGTGAGAGGATAATAACCTGGTCCAGTGTTCCACGACCAGGACAAAAACCACATTGCTCCTCCTGTATCTGAGATTCGACAAACAGATGCACCCTACTTTCCAGCACCCTGGAACAGACTTTCCCAGAGAGGCTGAGGGGACGACATAGATATTGTCTGTCTTATTGTGGACAGGAACTAAGTTTTGGAGTGGCACAAATGAATTGTGTGGCATCTTATTATAACACATGATTATGATTATTATTTTATAAATAGTTATACAAAAAAAGCTTGAGACATTTTCTGCATTTTAATTCTGTTTTCATTGTAAAAAAAATATTTTTCCTACTGAGATTTTTTGTTTTGTGTGATTTTAGGTCTATTGTGTTAATACAGTAAGTGAAAATGAAAATATAACTGTTAATTGAGACAAAACGCACATATTGTCTCAAATTTGCCTTAAAATTCAACATGCCAAAAGAATATGCTGGAAGTGGATCAGGAAAACCTTTAGGCAAGTTTATGTGTGTGTCAGACTCTCTTGCAATTTATCTAGAGCTATAGTTCTAAATGCTTTCTGAAGGCCTTTCGGGGATTTTCAGAGAAAGCAGTATCTGAACAGTATTTGAAAGTCATGTCCTTAAGAAATAGTAAAAAATGCTATCTCAATGAAGCTTGTAGCAGTCTGTAAAACAGTCTTTTCAATTTTTTCTTTTCAAATACTCAAAGACGTAAATGTGATGATAACATCATTATGGCAAAATCCAAACAACAACAACTGCTTTTCTCCTCTACTTGAAACATACTTGAAACCCAGAGAATGCTTATTAATGGCGAAAGAAAAATAACCGAGATGCTTTGCTTGCTTGGTGACTCATCATCTGTTAACAGATAACAGAGTAGGGTGGCTTTAACAGAGGAGGAGTGAGAAGGGGAAGCTCTGTTGACATCAGAACCCAGGAGACGGAGGAAACTATGGAAACAGGGCTATTCCCACACGTCAAAAACAATGCAAGGCTTACTGAACATCTTCACATGTATACTATTACGTACATACTAACATTAAGCATCTTTTAAAAAACAAAAAAAAATCATTGCAATATAAGGGTAGACACGTTCATACATTTTATGACATGACAGCTGGTCGGTGCTTATAACGACAAGCGTCTAGCTATTACGTGAGAATTTATTTATTCGAGTGATTGATTGATTGAGCGTTTGTTTTTAATAATGCAAAAATAGCACTGGCGTGACGACTAAACATATGTCACGCCTGGACATAGACCGGAAGCTAGAAAGGGAAAATGCATCGATTTAGCGAATCGATACATATACATGACCTTATATCTAAGCAAGCGAAATCTAAAGAAAAATGTAGCTAGGGGTTTCCTACAACTTAGTCTACCTTATCAGGTTACTAAAAAGGCAACTTTCATATCGGTTTTCCACATAAGCTAACGCCCGCCATCTGTTAAGCTGGTTCGTTTTTTGTCAGGTTATCAGTTTCACTACAATAGCAAAAGTACTATAGAGCTTGATTAAAGATTCTGAAGATATGAATTTTGAAAGTGAAAAGATACCTGCACGCTGCCACTCAGCGTCTTCCACTCGCCTGTTACTGTAATAACCTATGCTTCCTTGAGCCTAAGCAGTGGCGTCCACACTTTCACTTTTCAGAATAAAAGCCGACATTTCATTATTTATTATTTTCATATAGACTCAGAAAGGCTTCATCACAGTGTAGTTATTGCAACCCCTGAAACTTGAATATGGGGAATAAAAACGGAATATTTTGGGTAAGTCGTTTTTAGTTCGGTGAACTACTGTGCTTTTATTCTGGAAATCTGAAAGGAAGTTTTTTTCTTGATACGGTTGATGGTGGAGGGGGTAGCAGACATGTTGCTATCCTCAAAAAGTGCCTCCTGAGTCATAACACCATGTGAACCCTAGTTACGGTAGGCATCTTCATAAATAACGCTAATTAATAGATATGCTTCATCACCTCTTTGTGGGCTTCCTTGTGTTATTGCTCTACATTAGCTAAACGTAAGATTGCTCTGCCTGACACCATTTAGCTGTATCTCATTGTTGTAATATAACTTAACATGAAATTATTTTACATTTGTTCCATTTTAAAACCGTGCGAAGAATATCACGCGCTGAAATGCACGTAGTCAAAGTCTTACGCATGCCCAAAAGCCACTATTTTATGCCTGCCGCCATCTGTGGTATTTAATTACATGGGGATCTTTAGTGTGGATTTATTATTATACTTTAAGCATGATAGTTCTCGTGTCCATTTTTAAATACTTTAACTTAAACCGTGTTTACCAAAAATGTTTGTTTCCTCTGCAAGTAAAGAAACAGTTTTAGTCTTAGGGTTTTTTTGTTTTGTTTGTTTGTTTGTTTGTTTGTTTGATTTTAGACACTTAAACTTGGCACATTTAGCATTTCCCGAGAGTACAAATTTTAGGTCAACATTTTAAAACCTTTTTCCAAATACACCCCTTACAACTTGGCAAAATAAGATAAGATAGCTTGTTTTTAAAAGTTTTTAAAATTTCACTTTTAAATCCCCCAATAAGTCCAGAGAGCACAGTTTTTTGTTAGTATATGTAGTGGACTGCTGTTAATGTAATGCTTTTCTAGTCTTACTCATCTTTATAGCTGTAACTGTTCATGCCACCTATTTCCTCCTCTTTGGATTCTGGTTCAAACATGTTCAGATACATTTTAAAAACATGCCATTTTTACATGCATTAATCTGTTTTAGAATTAGTTTTCAAACATCCACACAGGTCAACGGTTGACATGGTGCAGATTCAGTATCTCTCTCTTTGAGTCCCCTTTCATTCTTCATCCATATCTCTTACTTGTTTTTTATTACTATTATTAATTTATAAAAACATAATAGATCTGACAACTGTATACACTCTATAGTGGTATAGTGGTCATATACCAACCATTTATTAAAATTTGTTATGTCCATAAATCTGCAGGGTTTGAAATCTCCCCATATGTTAGTCCTTGTTTGTCAACATACCATAGTCTACAATAAGTTTATGACTAAATTAGTTGTTCTTAGTTTACCAAGTAAAAAAGAATGCATTATTTTCTTTGTTTTTATTAAGTATTTAGGATTCCAGTGGTATAGAAAAATAGTGCGAAAATACTTCACTAAAGATATATTTTATTTGCAGAAATGAACAAATAAAATTAGCTTTCCTAGGGTACAATGTAATGGTTCAGAATGGTCAATCCACCCATTTATCCATCCATTTTCTTCTGCTTTTCCGGGACCGATGTGTGAGCAGAAACCTAAACAGTCTTTGTTTAGGTTTCCAGCTTATCCAAAGGAACACAGAGGCATTTCACAAATTGTGAATTGTACAAAGGTCGAATAATAAAACACTTGGGTTCAGGTCAGACAGGCTGTTTCTCCAAATAACGCCCCTCCCGGTATCACCGTCATTGCCAATGTAAGCATTAAGTCTCCCGGTGGGCCAATGTAGGCAAAGAAGCACAAATGACAGTCACCTGTCCCAAAGGCACAGGGAACGCTCTTGTCCACTGGTAAAAACCACATGGTACTAGCAGAAACCAAAGCATGCTCAGGGTATAAAAGAATGCCCATTGCAGATTTTAGCCCTTCTGCAGGAGACTAGTTCCGAAGTCCGAGGTCATTTTCTTTTCTTTTTTTCCATTTCCAAACAATCTCGCTAGCAGTTGTCACCATCTTACCAAGCTTTTTGGGGGATTTTGTAGCCCTTTCCAGCCTTGTGCAGGTCTACAACCTTGTCCTTGACGTCCTTTGACAGCTCTTTGTCTATGGAGATGGAGAGGTGGGAATGGAGGTTGAGGTCAGAATAAGTCTGCGGGAGCCAGAATTCTGGCTCCCACTGCTCAATGGAAATGAATCTACCATAAAAATTTATAGCCTTTTGTTGCTCAGAAGAGACTCAAATAATTAGTTCCCCCTTCTCTAACCTTTAAATGCCTATTTTTATGCCTATTATGTATGTCATGTCATTGAACAAGTTTTAGTGTTTTAACACACTGTTATTGGGCCTATTCAGCTAAGGAACTGTAATTTTAGTGTTTCAGCATGTTCAGCTGCTTTTCATAGTCAGTATAATGAGCATTTTCTCTATAAGCGTAACAAAACAAAGATTACATTTCTAAGAATTACTTACTTATACATAACTCATTGAAATATATAAAGTCATTGTACTCTACAGTATGTTGCAAACTGCAGTATGTCAATCTGCAATACAGGGTTGACAAGTGACCAGACTTAAAAATTTGGCAGGGTATGAATAAATTATTTCTCCTACTATATACAGCAGTTGAATTGTCTTGTGTGTTTGTCTGTTTCATTAGAACTGATAAATGCAAAGTAAACCATTCCTCGTCATATAAGTGACTTTCTATATGCTATGCTACCTAGTTGCTTGGTTTTGTTGTTTAATAAGCAATGTCATTGTGTGGTTTTATGCTAATTTTATCAGACTGCAATGTACCGTCTTCCTCAAACTGCCCTGCTTAACTAACAGCAGATAGATGGGTGCAAAGAGAGTGCAGGGTTGTTTTCAGGAGCTGGTGTTGGTTCCATTGAATGGAACTCTTAATGCTTTAGCATAGCAGTACCTTTTGGATAATTTCATGCTCCTAACAATTTGCGTTTTAACAAGCATTTATGTCTGCGTAGGTTCATGGTAATCTAAGAAGCTTGGAAAGAAAAGCGACCAGACTTCTTTAAGTTTCTTGAAGATGTTTTACTTCTTGTTCAAGAAGCTTCTTCAGCCTTTTAAATGCTCGTACACTGAATTATTGCTGTTTTGGAACAAAAGCACAGATTTGCACAGACTGCATTTAACTTTGTTTTTATATATTTTTAAATCTGTTTCCATTTTGTTCTGTCCTCCTGCTTTGCCGATCACACTACATACTTCATTAGTATTGTGAGCAGTTTTGGCAGACAATATAGATCTGTAGCTCCCTGTAGTGTATTGCAGCTACAAAACACATTTATGAGGTATTGACAGGTCGGCCATAAAAACAAACTTTTGGTTCCAGTCTTGCAAGGGCCTCTCTCACATTTAGGGCCCTGGTGGTCAGTCCCACTTTTCTCCTCACTAAGTAGGTGACGCCCATATTCATCAGTTTCTGCTTGCAATAGCCTGTTTGAAATACTCATTCAAACATGTTTATGTTTGGATGAAATACAAATTCAAATTTTATTTGTCACATACACAATCGTACATAGTACGACATGCAGTGAAATGCTTGTTGCTGTGCAATGCCGAACCAAACGTAGACATAAAAGTAAACATAAAACTAACTAGCAAGTAATTTACATAATATACAAATTTAAAAATTAACTGTAAAAAATGTACAATAAAATGAAAGGTTAAAAATAATTAACAAAACAAAAATAGAATGTGCAGATAAACAAATTTAAGAAATTATAAAAGTTTGCAAATAAACAGTGTGCATGTAAAGAGTGTGCAAACAAACAGTGCACAGTAACAGTTTGCAGTGGAATAAATTGTTCCTGATGTATAGTAGTGAGAGAGAGAGAGTCCAGTCCTACACAAGGTTCAGGGACCGAATAGCCTGAGGGAAGAAGCTCCTCTGTAATGAAGAGCTGTTTTGGACTTGAGGGAGTGGAAGTGCTCCCATGAACTCAAAAGTGAGAAGAGTCCATTGTTGAGATGAGAGCGATCCTTCATAATCTTCCTGGCTTTGGTCTTGCACTGCTTAGTGTACATGGACCGAAGGTAAGGAAGCTCATAGCAAATTAGGGCTGCCGATTATTTTGATAGTTGACTAGTCACCGATTATTTTTGCGATTAGTCGACTTAACAGATCATGTGTCCATTGGACGTAAAACATACAGCTTATTGCACCAGCATGCATCTGCTCTTATATAACTATCATTATCTTACAGCTTTAAGTGTTTAAGGTATGTGCTAACTAAAAAAAAAGACAAGATGATAGTTTATTAAATTTTAATGAAATTTGCAGATTGTTTCGGTGGAGTTTAATAAACTCAGCCGTCTGCTCCTTGCTATCTAAAATATAACAGGACACCGGAGTATATTCTCGAGCATCTCATACTTCTGATAATCAGTTGTCTGCTTGACGTTTATTCAGCTCTTTAAAACTATAACTTTAATCTCAGCCAACTCAAGAACAAATAAAATACTGAAAAAGACCAAACAATAACATTTTTAAGTTATCTAAGTGACATATATATCATGTTTAACCTGAATAGCGAAAGACGGCAGTGGGTTTGAAAATGATTTGCCGGGAGTCTGGTGTTCTCACCGGCTCTAGTGAGCCTTGAACCCCGGCTAGATATCGAGCTGGTGGGTAACAGATGTCTCTGAAAACGTTGGAGCGCTTTTGAAAATATGTGGTGTCTTGATAAACTGAGCAGATATTTCAAGTTTACACAGCCACATTCTCGCCTGAAAATATGTTAAACAAACGTTTAACATATTTTAACATTTTCATATTTTCACATATTTTGTGACCCAGAAAGAATAATAAAAGAGATATTAAAACTAACTAGCTGCCGCCATTGTTGAAAACTGAGCAGGGCCGCGCTATGAATTCTGGGATACGTTGGGCCACGAAGTATACACCCGACCCATCTTTCAAATCTGGGGAAATAAAGGGTGCATTTGTCGGCCGCATTTGTCGGAGTCTTCGAATTTGGACAGTCTTTGTCGTGTCGCTGTAACGTAATTGGCCTACAAATGCAGACACAGGAGGATGCGGTTTCTGAATTTGGACACAACTACGATACCGGACACTGCTTCTTCTTCTTCTTCTCGGGGGTTAACGGCAGCTGGCATCCTTGTACATGCATTGCTGCCATCTTCTGTTTCAGTCTGCTATTACACTCTTAAATACTACTACTTATTCCTGCGTCTTTTGGGATCTTACA